CCTCCAGCACCAGCAGCAGCTCCAGTACCCCCAGCACCAGCAGCACCTCCAGCACCAGCAGTACCTCTAGTACCTCCAGTAGTACCTCCAGCACCTCCAGCACCAGCAGCACCTCCTGGACTAGTAGCTCTAGCACCAGCCGGACCGTACCCTCCACCACCAGGACTGCCTCGCCGAACGACCCACGCACGAATCGCCTGCGGCGAGAGCGTCTCAAGTAGAGCAGGCTGCGGTGGCTGTCCAGCTCCAGTACCTCCAGTAGTGGTAGCTCTAGTACCTCCAGCACCAGAAGCACCTCTAGTACCCGGAGCTCCAGCACCTCCAGCACCAGCAGCAGCTCCAGTACCTCCAGTAGTACCTCCAGGCCTAGTAGCTCCAGTACCTCCAGCTCCAGGACCTCCAGAAGGACTCGCAGCACCCCCAGAGTCAGCACCCGAAGTGTCAGCACCCCCAGAGTCAGCACCCAAAGTCTCAGTACCCCCAGGCTCAGTACCCTCAGGCTCAGTACCCTCAGTCCCAGCACTCGCAGGCTCAGTGCCCTCAGTCCCAGCACCCGCAGGCTCAGTACTCTCAGTCCCAGCACCCGCAGGCTCAGTACACTCAGTCCCAGCACCCGCAGGCTCAGTACGCTCAGTCTCAGCTCCAGTGTCCACTGCAGAAGGCTGCAGAGGCGGGAAACCGGGGGGGGTAGCCAAACGAGGAGAGCAGTCACCCCCAGACGGACCACTCCCAGGCCCAGCTCCAGCAGCCTCAGCTCCAGAGTCCACAGTAGCAGGCTGCGGAGGTGGCGAAGACGGCCGAGGCGGGAAACCCGGGGGGGTCTCCAAGCGAGGAGTGTGGCGAGTGGTCGTCGTGTCGTCGGCGACGGCGTCACCCACCTCAGCTGAGTCAGAGGAGTCAGAAGAGATCTCAACTGGCTCATCCAAGGGGGGTGGGTCTACCTGGGACACACCTGAGGGAGCAGGACCCTGTGGGGGAAGGGGGTCTACTGGGGGGGGACTGGTACCAGGAAGAGAGGCGCGAGGGGGACCGGGTGGGACGCGTGTGGGTGAAGTCGGTAGTAACAGACCGACTCGTCGAAGGTGACGTCCTGAGAGGACAGAACACGACGCGAGGCAGGGTGGTAGAACTTCCAGGGTGGAGCGTCGGTGGGGAAGCCCGGGAAGACACAGCGGAGAGTGCGAGGAGAGAGCTTGCTCGCTTTGGTATCGCGAACAAGGGAGAGCGCGCCCCAGACCCGAAACGACGACGCATCACCAGGCTGTCCCGTCCAACGGAGTGTGGGCGAGGTCTCTGGAGCAGAGACACGGGGCCAGAGGTTGAGCTGATGCGCGGCGTATCGGACCGCAAACGGCCACAGGAAATGGGGAGCAGCCGCATGGATCATGGAGGTACGAGCAACCTCCATGATCAGGCCAATGCGACGCTCAGCGATCCCATTTTGCTGCGGAGAGGCCGGAAGCGTGAACGACCGGGCGATGCCCTCATCCTGGCAGAACGTCTCAAGGACGCCAGAGGAGAACTCACCACCCCTGTCAGAGTGCAGACGCAGGACTGGGAAGTCCTGCTGAAAGCGCTCGTGCAGCTGGAGACGAGTAGCACGGATCCAGCGGATCAAAACACCGCTGACGTCCGCCTTGCGACGCAAGGGGAAGACTGTGGTGTAGCGTGTGTAGTCGTCAACAACCAGCAGGAAGTAGCGCTCCAGGTTCGTCCCACCGACTGGGGCCGGGCCGCACACGTCCAGGTGGAGAGTCTGCAGAGGAGCAGTGGTCGGAGGAAACTCGGAGGAGTGAGGAGCGGCGCGCTGTCGCTCCTCGACGCAAGGAAGGCACGGCGGCGCAAGTGAGCGCGGGAGGGGGGGCAGGGTCCTGGGGAGGCCAGAGACAAGGAGACGGGAGTGCATACTGCGTAGATGCTGCAGGGAGGGGTGACCAAGATGGTGGTGCCAGCGCTGAGTCTCGTGCGTGAGTACTCTGCACGAGCAAGACGCGGCTAACTGCCTCGACGCAGACACCCGACTCGACGCAGCCACCTGACCTGACTTAGCCACCTGTGCAGACGCAGTGGTCAGTGTGTACAGACTAGACCCAGGCTGTCGAGTGTACGTAGCCAGGTGTCGGCCAGTCCGGGAGCACGTACAGATCGCCACACGCTGCCCTCCAGGAATGGCAGTGTTGCTCACCAAGTTCGTCGAGAACGTGGGGAGGTGGAGACCTGACAGAGAACCGGAGGGGACTGCAGGACAAGGGAGGACCGTGGAGGCTCTCGCATCTACTGGGCCCCCAGAGGGGTCAGCCAGTGAGACTGGGACAGGTGCTGTGAGTGGTGTGACTGTGGTGCAATCACGAAAGAAGCAACGTGACGCGCCTGAGTCAAGCGTGAATGTGTGCAAGACCTCAGCTGAGGCAGGACCTGTGGGAGACGCACTAGCACCTAGAGCGTCGGCAGACTCACGGGCACCTAGAGCTGCAGCAGACTCACTAGCACCTGGAGCGGCAGCAGACTCACTAGCACCTGGAGTAGCAGCAGACTCACTAGCACCAAGAGCAGCAGTCTTAACAAAACGATAACCTCCACCACCAGGACGACCTCGCTGAGTAACCCACTCACGAAGCTGCTGAGGGGTGGGGTTGTCCGGGAGAAGTAGTGCCCGCTGCTGTCCACCCCTGACCGCAGCAACTGCCGCGGAAGTGGCCATGATAGACAGTGACGGTCAGGAGTAGGTCCAGCACCTCCAGCTCCTGCAGCACCAGCAGCACCTCCAGCACTCCCAGCAGCACCTCCACCAGCAGCAGCAGTAGCACGAGTAGCAGCAGCAGCAGTAGTAGTAGCAGGGCGGCTCGGGTTGGGTAGGGCGACGCGGCTCGGCCGGGTACAGCTCAGCAGTAGCAGCGAGTGCCGCAGCAGCAGCCGCAGCAGTGGAAACCCTATTTTTTTTTTTTTTTTTTTTTTTTTTTTTTTTAAGAAAGCAGTAGTAGCAGCAGAAGTAGCGCGGCTCAGGCAGGGCGACGCGGCTCGGGCTGGGCGGCGCGGCTCGGCAGGGCGGCGCGCGGGCTGCAGGAGCGGCGCATGGGCTGCAGGGGCAGCGCGCACGGGCTGCAGGGGCGACGCGCGGGCTGCAGGGGCAGCGCACACGGGCTGCAGGGGCGACGCGCGGGCTGCAGGGGCGACTCGCGGGCTGCAGGGGCAGCGAGCGGGCTGCAGGGGCGGCGCGCGGGCTGCAGGGGCGACGCGCGGGCTGCTGGGGCAGCGCGCAGGCTGCAGGGGCAGCGCGCACGGGCTGCAGGGGCGACGCGCGGGCTGCAGGGGCAGCGCGCGGGCTGCAGGGGCGGCGCGCGGGCTGCAGGGGCAGCGCGCACAAGCTGCACGGGCAGCGCGCGGGCCACAGGGGCAGGCACGGCTGCAGGGGCAGCACGGTCGCAGGGGCGAGTACTGCTGCAGGGGCAGCACGGTCGCAGGGGCGAGGACGGCTGCAGAGGCAGCGCGGTCGCAGGGGCGAGCACGGCTGCAGGGGCAGCGTGGTCGCAGGGGCAGCGCGCAGGCTGCAAGGGCAGTGCGGCTGCAGGGGCAGCGTAGGAAGAAAATTTTACGGGTAGGGCAGGGCGGAACGTTCGGTGGGCCCTAGGAACGATTCTGCTCTAATACCATGTTAGAATAAGCAGGAATGAATGATTGAACTAGGCAAGAGGTGAGTACAAGTAGGGGAAACCTAACCCTAAAGTGTTGTACTCACTGAGTGACCCTACTGTAGCCTAGAGATACAATTGTAATCTGACACTTATACCCCATACTCAATTAGAAGCGGCCCCCTTCAATAAACCGATTTTATTATAAGCGCATATGCGCTACTATTTGGGGTGATACGGTAGAATGTTGTGTTTTCTTGACCTTCACGGGCATGAAAATATATTAGATTCTAATTTGTGTTGATTTTGGTTTCATTCCTACAGCCTCCTGTCAAGGCTACCTCCTATCAAGATTGTACGCCTGTAAATTGGCAACCCCGCTAAATGCGAGCATTTTCATTGGTCCGCTGGTTCGGTACATTTCTGATATGAGGTGTTCTATAACGTAACCATGGTCAAAACACAAACTTGATAGGAGGGGGCCTTGATAGGAGGCCGTGGGAATACGCTCTTACAGTAGTACTTATGCCATGGCTGCTCAATAGAGCGAGCAAGCAGGACCCAGGCCCCCGGACTGCTTCATCCGTAGGCTGGAAAATCAGAGGCTGTACAGTGACGCTGTAGCTGGTAAAGGCAGAACGTGTGCGGTATCTTATGCTTCACAATGCCGTTTATCAGAACTCTAAGCTGCTGGTTTGATGAGAAGGGTGCGATTGCAGGGAAGCAGCCAGGTGTGGTTGGGACATGAGGGAACAGGTGAGGCGAAATCGTGCCCTGATGTGCGCAAGGAGAGAGTCAAATCGGTCATCCTGTCACAAGTGCAGTTGGGCAGAGAAGAGAATGGGGGGAGGAAGATGGATAGAGCGAGACCGGGTGAGGGAGAGCAGATGAGGTGGAATAGAGCCCTGATGTGTGAAAGAAGAGAGTCGAATCAGTTGTCTAGAGACTAAGTGTAGTGGGGCAGAAGAGAGAACGAAGCGGGGAATTTTGTGTAGGGAGAGACCGGATGACTAAGAGCAGGTGTAAATTGCGCTCTGATGTGCCATACGGGTAACGGGACTGACAAGGAATACTGACCGGGTCAGTGGGAAGGGGATATGGGATCAAGCGCTGCTACAGTAGTTGGAGGGTGCAGTACAATGCGGTGGGATGAGGCAGGATGCGACAGAGGAGGTGGAATGAGGTGGAATGAGGCACAGATCAGGCACAAATGAAGTATGGATAAGGAGGTGCTGCGGACAAAAGTGCGTACGGATCACATCAAATGGATGAGAAGGATGTGCGTACGGATCACATCAAAGTACACTAAAGTTATTATGGGTTTTACATTGCACAAAGGACCCCTATAAAATGTGACGAATGGGGAGTTCACTAGGGAAGAGGTGGGTGGGGAGGGAGTGAGGGCCATGAACGGTGGTGCGAGATGGGAGAGGGAGGATGAGGGAAAGGAGGAGAAAGGGGAGCTTGGGCAAAAGTGACGGGGAAGGGATGAAGGGAGAGGAGGAAGGTAGGCTGTTACTGGGAGAGTTGTGATGTGGCGTAGTGCTGCAACTGTAATACCTGCAGTTTGAAAATCCACTCACAGCATGTGTGGAGTGCAGCTGAAGAAGCTGTTGTAACTCATTTGAGGGTTTGTGAGTGGGAAAGTGTGAGATGAGTTGTTGCAACTGTGTTGTGAGTAGACATGAGCAACGACACAAGTAATTTACTCGACTCGTTTTGGGCGAGTAACGAGTCGGCCTTTTCCAGAAAATTACTCGCCATGTCGAGTCGAGTATTACTCGCAGTTTACTCGTTTTGAAAACGAGTAATTTATTACTCGGTTTTGACACCTGTTTAGCTCAAAACGAGTCGAGTATTACTTGCTCCAAAACGAGTACTTCATTACTCGGTCGGAGTAATGAAATACTCGTTATTTTTCACGAGTAACGAGTCTGGTCTAGGGGTAAAATTACTCGGGCGAGTAATACTCGACTCGACTCGTTCCCAAAACGAGACGGCTGGAAACGAGTCGAGCATTACTCGTTTTGGCGTTTGCTCATGCCTAGTTGTGAGGCGTATCAGAAACACAAACTGGATGCTCCTGGTGCAACTCATATCAACGGTCGGGGCTTGAGTTAGGATGGGATTGACTAGACAGTTGTTCTGAACTGAACTCACTTCGGGGTTGGTTATGGGGAAATCAGAAATGAGTTGCTGCAGCTGTTGCACGGCTTTGGTTGCCCTGGCGGGGAGAGAGGAATGGGCGGGATGGAGAGACGGACGGATGGGAGTGATGGCAGGGGTGAGGGGGGGGTGGGGGAGGGGGAAGGGAGGGATGCGGGGGTGGAGGGGGGGAGAGGGATGCGGGGGATGGGGGGGATGGGGGGAATGGGGGTATGGGAGGGGATGGAAGGGAGGGAGGGATCGGGGGGGGGGGAGGGGGGATGACGGGGTTAGCAGGGGAAGGGTGAGAGGAATGGGAGGGACGGGAGGGATGGACAGAAGCGGAATGAGGATGGGAGGGAAGCATAGGATGGTGGGACTGGGGAAGTGCAAGATGTGCTGCCGTACACCCATGGTTGCCTCACAACTTTGAATAGGGAGACGAAAAGCAACCGAATTTGAATAGGTTTAAGGCTTGATAGTTATTGCGGGGGGGTAAAGGAGTGACAGGAGGGGTGGAGGGAAGGGAAGGGGATGGGAGCGATGGTAAGAACGCAATGGGAATGAGGCGCTCTCCAAACGGGATGGAAGGCGCTGGGATGGTGGAGGTGGAAAGAAGAGGAAAAGTAAACAGGATGGGAAGAAAAACAGGAAATGGGAGAGGAGATTGGGGATTGGGGATGGAGAGATCCAAGGGGATGCACATCACTGTTTAGAGTCCCAAAGTTGGTTTGTGAGAGACGTAAGGAAGTGGATGGGAAAATAAGGAAACTGGAGGGAAAGAAGCGGATGGGAGGCAAAGAAGGGGATAGGAGAAAAAGAAGGGGATGGGAAGGAAGTGGCAGTAAGTGGCCTAAGTGGCAGGGGATGGATGGAAGGACGCGGAGTAAGTGGCAGGAGGATCCAGCAGTGAGGATTGAAGGTGGAGTCTCGCCTGGGGGAGAATCGTGTGGAGGGGGTTGATTGGATGACTTGCCTCCACGCGGCTGCACAACCCCACATGAAGCCCAGCTCGTCCCCTGATGGTGGTGTGGGATGGGGTGGAGTGGGGTGCGAAGCGGTGCGGTGCGGTGGGATGGGATAGGATGGGATGGGATGGGATAGGATGGGATGGGATGGGATGGGATGGGATGGGATGGGATGGGATGGGATGGGATGGGATGGGGTGGGGTGGGGTGGGGTGGGGTGGGGTGGGGTGGGGTGGGGTGGGGTGGGGTGGGGTGGGGTGGGGTGGGATGGGATGGGATGGGGTGGGGTGGGGTGGGGTGGGGTCGGGTGGGGTGGGGTGGGGTGGGGTGGGATGGGATGGGATGGGATGGGATGGGATGGGATGGGATGGGATGGGATGGGGTGGGGTGGGATGGGATGGGATGGGATGGGATGGGGTGGGGTGGGGTGGGGTGGGGTGGGGTGGGGTGGGGTGGGGTGGGGTGGGGTGGGGTGGGTTGGGATGGGATGGGACGGGATGGGATGGGATGGGATGGGATGAGATGGGATGGGGTGGGATGGGGTGGGGTGGGGTGGGGTGGGGTGGGGTGGGGTGGGGTGGGATGGGATGGGGTGGGATGGGATGGGATGGGATGGGATGGGATGGGATGGGGTGGAATGGAACAGGACGGGATGGACTGGACTGTGTGGGACGGGGCGGGCCAGGGCGGGATGTGGCGGGATGGATGTTCCAGAATGAAGAGTGATGCGTGGTGTATATTCCATGATACATGACATGTGAAGCGCGTTGGGGCATAACAGGTACAATAATGCATTTATGAATGCTATCTTATAACCCCCCTCATAACTCAGCTCGTATGGTGTAGGACGCATGGTACTGCATTGCGTACAACGGGACTTATGCATACCATATGCGTACGAAATTCCACCCACCTATCATGAACCCATGCTCCAAGCCCGTTTCTCTCCCCTCTTCCCTTCCCAATCGCAGGCCGTCCCTGTCAATCAAGACAAAATGAGGTCAGACGATGATACTACTACTCTCCGGGGAAGTGCAGGTAGAGGGGGAAATGGAGACGAAAATAGGAAAACGCATGGTGAGAATGTAATAACTGTGTCTGGATTGATTGTATCATATAGCTTGAGTCGACTCAAAAGTCATATCTCAAGTGATGGAGAGGGAATGCCACAACTAGTGCGATAGAACGCAACAACAGCCCGGCTTAGTAAATCGTAATGACAAACTGCGAGAATGGTTTGACAAACGGAGCGAGGAGAGAGGCAAGAAGTAGCTCTGGGCACAGCCCCTAGTTTGCTGCGATTCGTAACTTCTCCGCTAACGTACAAGCAGTGAAAGAAATGAGGGATAAGTGACGAGGGTGCTCACTGATATCCCTCAGCGTGGCCCTGCGCTAATAACTGCTCTTCTAAGCCCACCACCGCATCTAAATCCATAGGTTTCCCTAATGTCGCCAGAAATCGCGGCGAATTCGAAACTAACAGCAAGAAACAACACGTTGGAGATTGAGGTTCGGCGTCGCAGGTTCAAGGATTGGTCATGGGAAGCGACACGCCCAATTAGGTCCTAAAAGTGAGGCGCGACGAAAGGCATGTGCCAGGGATACTCCTTAGATTACGTGAGGAACAGAGATTGCTTCTTAGTGGCGACGTTAGATTTCACGGCGGTTTGGGCTGGTAGATCTCGTTTTAGTAATCGGGGATAAGGTCACACAATCCCATCCCGATCTGACTGCAAGAACAAGAATGGCACTACACATTTCCCCAGTCACTCGAACTACGAAGGACGAGTTTCGTGAGGCCAGGACCTTCTGGTCCTTTATTGATTAGACCCGTAATGTCAAGGTGCCCGTCTTATAGAACCAAAATCAGTATAGGGTGTCTGACAAAAAAAGACGGTACGGAGTGTGAAATTATCGGAGAACAGGTTGTCGCAAGTCCGTGCAAAAAATCGGGAGGTGTTTTCCTTGTACAGTTTGGTTTTGGGTCTTTGCATTTCGCCGGCCAACTTTCTCGTCGCCTAGTTTCGCACATGAGAGATTGTTTCGCGAAAACTCGAAATGTCAAACACCACTTCAAGGCCCTGTTAGGTCGCCCACCACTCTGACTCGGCCAACTCGCACTTCAGAACCACCTTTGGTTGCCTCGGGTGTCCACTAACACAAACACTAAAACGAAATTTGGGGTTTAGGTTGTGTCAGATCCGCAAAAAAAAAAAACAATGTTATGGCCCGTAATTTGACGATCATATGGTAGGGGATTTTGCTATTGACGGGAGTTGGCCCCGCCCTCGCTTGGGCAAAGCTGACTGTGTGGTCGGGTGTGTGGGAGGTGCAGCCGACCCTCTGCAGTATGCGAGATCTGGAGCTTTTGCGCAGGTTGGGACAAGGATCTCGATCACAAGGTGAAGGGTTGCCTGTACACGAAGTGTACTAGGGAACCCGTGCGAGAGTAACTGAAGCACCCGCGAGTGCAACGCAAACGTCTCGTGCACATGTGCAAGTGGCGCAGCTGGTGCAGAGGTTCGCGGGTGTTCATCTGCGCAGGGTCGCGTCTGACCCTGCGCACCTTCGCGAATGCACAAGCAAATTTTGGCTAGAAATTTGAATGTGCCCTGATTTCGACCAATGAGGAGCCGGAATTTCGACCGAGGTGGTCGATGAAGGTGGCTGACGAAGGTCGTCGACCCGCGACGACGAAGGTCGTCAATCGATGATGACGAAGGTCATCGTCCTGCAGGGTTGCTGGGGACTTTACCCGGTCGACCGAGTTACCTGTGGTGGAAGTCAAAGCCGACCAGCCTAAGCTGCGACGTTCCACTCGTTCCAACCTTGGCAAGCCTCGCGAGAAGCTAAGCTACCATGCTTGCCTGCCGCCGACCTCCTACAGTACGTTGCTCGACGATGCGCAGGCCAACGTCGACCTGCCCGAGCTCGACCGTAACGTGTACGCTGACCCAGAGCACTGCTGGGACATTGCGACGATGACGGTGAAGGAGGCGTTGGCGAGCTGGAAGGGCAAGGCGGTGAAGGCCGCTATGGACGAGGAGATCAACAGCCTCATCGCCATGGGCACTTGGGAGCTGGTCGAGCGTCCGCGCGGGGTGAACATCATGAAGAACCGGTGGGTGCTGATGGCGAACTACCACATCGACGACATGGTCACCCGCGAGAAGGCGAGATTGGTCGTGAAAGGGCTCCACGCAGGTGTACGGCGCTAACTACGATGAGACGTACGCGCCGGTCAGCAGCTACGTCACGCTGAGGATTTTCCTCAGCATCGTCACCGTCCTCGACTTGCACCTGATGCAGCTCGACATGAAGAACGCCTTCATGAAGAGCAAGCTCGACATGGTGCTGTACATGTACCAGCCGGACTACTATGATGACGGAACTGGCCGGGTGTGCAAGCTGTTGAAGTGCCTCTACGGGCTGAAGCAGTCGCCGCTGTTGTGGTACAAGGCGCTCGACGACGTGCTGACCACCGCTGGCTGGAAGAAGAGCCAGGTCGACCAGGCTCTCTACTTCAAGGTCGGCGACGGCGGAGTGACGTGCTGGGTGCTCGTCTACGTAAATGACCTGCTCGCCGCCAGTAGTAGCCTTGCCATGCTGAAGGAGCTGAAGGAGCTGCTGGAGGCCGCCTTCGAGCTGCTCGAGATTTAACCCGATAGAGAGGTACCTCGGGCTGGAGATCGTGAGTGACAGGCCGGCGAGGAAGCTGTGGCTGCACCAGCAGTCGTACGTCGACAAGTTGCGCTGGCGCTTCATCGACGAGGAGCAAACCGGTCGGATCCCGAAGACGCCGGTCTCTGTCGACGCCTATGCGGAACTGACGTTCGACGACGAGGATGCTTAGGCGCACGAGGAGGAGGAGTACCGGCAGAAGGTCGGCTTGCTGCAGTTCGCGGCGATGACGAGGAGGCCGGACATTGCCTTCGCGTGCAGCAAGCTGGGGAGCGGCCTGACGGTGAGGAGCGACCAACACTGGCGTGAGGTCGACCGCTGCCTCGCCTACCGCGCCGACACCCGTGACACCGCCCTGGAGTTCGGCGGTGGAGCCAAGTCGCTGAACTTGGTCGGCTACGTGGACGCCGATGACATCGGCGACAAGCAAACCGGACGAGCACGGGCGGCTACGTGTTCGTCTTTGGAGGGGCTGCCATCTCCTGGTCGAGCCAGCGCATCAAGTGTGCGACGATCTCGTCGACCGAGCCAGAGTATGTTGCTGCCACTGAAGCCGGCAAGGAGGCTCGTCGACTTCGGTTCCTCCTTGCATAGTTCCGGCTGCTCGACGCCGGGACGCCAACAGTCCTTCGTGTGGACAACCAGTCGGCTATCACTATCGCGGAAGGCTTGGGGCTGAAGCGCAACCTCATGCACATGGAACGTCGTTACGCCTGGCTGCAGCAGATGGTGAAGCACAGGAAGTTCGTTCTGGGGTACATCTGGGGTACTACCCGACTTCCTGACGAAGGCGCTGCACTTTCCGGCCTTCAACCGGTACTCCGTCGCGATTGGCCAAGTTCGTCTGGCTGACATCGGCGACGGTGACGATGATGTGCAGCAGTAGGTGCCGTGCCCTTCTGCACAGCTGGTGCGGTGACCGGCGTGCTGTGTGTTGTGTGCACGCCGACGATGGATTTTTCCCCGTGTATTTTATCCCTTGGGTTCTAAGTGGCCCTAGTGTGTGGGGTGCCCGAGCGTGAACGCGGCAGGGGAGTGTTGACGGGAGTTGGCCCCGCCCTCGCTTGGGCAAAGCTGACTGTGTGGTCGGGTGTGTGGGAGGTGCAGCCGACCCTCTGCAGTATGCGAGATCTGGAGCTTTTGCGCAGGTTGGGACAGGGATCTCGATCACAAGGTGAAGGGTTGCCTGTACACGAAGTGTACTAGGGAACCCGTGCGAGAGTAACTGAAGCACCCGCGAGTGCAACGCAAACGTCTCGTGCACATGTGCAAGTGGCGCAGCTGGTGCAGAGGTTCGCGGGAGTTCATCTGCGCAGGGTCGCGTCTGACCCTGCGCACCTTCGCGAACGCACAAGAGAATTTTGGCTAGAAATTCGAATGTGCCCTAATTTCGACCAATGAGGAGCAGGAATTTCGACCGAGGTGGTCGATGAAGGTGGTTGACGAAGGTCGTCGACCCGCGACGACGAAGGTCGTCGACCAGCGACGACGAAGGTCGTCGACCCGCGACGACGAAGGTCGACGACCCGCGACGACGAAGGTCGTCAATCGATGATGACGAAGGTCATCGTCCTGCAGGGTTGCTGGGGACTCTACCTGGTCGACCGAGTTACCAGCTCGACGAGGTTCTGCAGAGGTGCGCGAACGTCGTCGAGGTTCCTTTGGCGAAGTCGACCGACGTGGCAGCACGTGGTCGACGTGGCTCGTCAGGTGCAACCGTCAGCATGTGGCTGACAACCTGTGCAATGTGCGCGACAATGCACGTCATGCGTAAGTGTCTACAAGCACCTGCGAAGTAGGTGCTTGCACATGCGCTTACAATCACCTGCGGATGCAACGTTGCCAAGCCACGCGGGTGCTGTGTCGGCAAGCCGTGCGGGTGCATCGTTGGTAGGCCACCATTCTGCAGCGTTGGCAAGCCGTGCACGAGCTGCGTTGGCGGGTCGCAGACTTACTACGTTGGCAGGTCGACGACTTTGTCGTGCTGGCGGTCGACCTGCCTGTGCACTAGCAAACCCTGCATCTGATGTAGTCAATCTTTGCCATTGCTTGTTCATTTCTGTGTTAGAATCTAGAAGTGAACGAGAATGAATGAACTAGGCAGCAGGGTGATACAAGTAGGAAACCCTAGCAATGTGTTGTACTCTCTAAGGCTAAACCCACTATAGCCTACACAATATAAACATGTACAATGTTTGACACACCCCCATAGGCGAAGTGGGAGACAACCAGATGGTCACAAGGCCAGTCAAAGCAAAGCAAAGCAAGCTCAGGGTGGATCTCAAGGAAACCACACAAATTCCAAGCACAAGCAAGCGGTCACAAGACCAGTTCACATGCAGTTTGATAATATGACAAGAGGTACAGTGATCACAACCTAGCAAGTGTAAGCATGCAGGTATATATATATAGAGATCACAGTACAAGCAGAGTCAAGAAGTAAGCAAGTGAGGCACAGTAGGCACAAGGCCTAGAACAGTACAGAAACGCTGATGATCACAAGGCCGAAGCGCCGTGGTGAACACCTCAGCAGTGTTGGCCCGAGTGGCCACGTAAGCAAGACGAAGCTGACCACGCTGCTGCAACTCTCGAGCAAGGAAGTAGCGCAGAGCGATGTGCTTCGTTCTGTGCTCCAGTCTGTGCTCCTGACACAAGGCAATGGCGGCCTTGTTGTCGACGTACAGCACTGGAGGAGTACGAGGCCGCTCTCCCAGGTCGGTCAGCAGGTAGGTGAGCCAGCGTAACTCCAGTGCA